GGGGTGAGGTGGGAGGACGCACGGCAGTTTAAAACTCTCAAATAATATTCATACACACGCTTTGCTCAATAGAAGTTCTCACACTGTGAGAGCCTCAGTGATTGTATTGTGTTCAGCAGCCGAGGTTGGCAAACTACCACCGCTTGTCAAATGCGTCCCTTCAGACTTTAGTGTGGCCAGAGGTAACTTAATACAGCGATTTTCATTTCTTTTCTTCTTTTTTTTTTTCAAATGGAAACCAAAGAACATTTGCATAAAACATCGCATTTGCCACTGTACTTAAGCCTGGTCTAGTTTTCCTAGTTTTCCTCATGATGAGATTTATTAACAGCAAATTAGTTTGTTGCCTTTAAACCATTATGTTATTGTTGTGATACGGCACAATTTGTGGATTACTTTTAATCGAAAAAGTTACGTTTTATGGGAGTTTTTTATATAATCTTTTTTTTTTTTATAAGATCTAAAAAATCACCGGTCCTGGCAAGTGAAGATCAGGAGGGACATTGCAACGGCGTTATTTTTAGGAACATTTTTAAAAATTTGGCATCAACACATCCACACAATTTCGACTAAATCATGCTAGGGGAAAAGGGGAAGGGGGTTCTTGTAAACTAGTGAAGCTCCCATCAATGCATACAATTTTGGAGGCCGACACCATAGACCCTGATAGCCCATTACGCCTAAATTATGGATTCACCCAATGACAAAAACGTTGGTGCGAAAAAAATAATTCGCAAGCGAAATTCGCACCCGAAGTTCGCATCGGTTTTTCGGGCATATGGAATGTCAGCTTAACAGGGAGATTTGAGCTCCTTACAAATATTTCCCAAATATGAAACAAAAACAAATTCAAGGCCAACCAAGGCTGAGAGAAATAAAATATCTTCGGGAAATAAATCGAGATAGTCGATAAAAATTAGTCCCACAGGTGGAATAGAATAGCGGGACTTTTGCGGACGCCGGCGAAACGAGTAACAACCACACAACAGATGGCAGTATCCTTTCATTAATCAAGGGGCAATGGGGCCTCGGGGGCTGGTGCTTTGGGGCAATAGGATGGCCTATGAATGACACCTCATCATCACATAGCTGGTGTATCATTTTTTTAAAAATCAATGTACAATGTTTGCCTGACGGTTCTGCAGGACAACGAAATTTGAGTTCTACACTCAAAAGGAAGTGGCTATCAGAAAAAAATAAAATAAAAGTAAAACAGCAACAAGAACGAATAAAAACGTTTTGTTTGATGTCAATAAGAGACGGACTTTGGACCTAAAAAATTATTTCTTTGAGCAAGCAATAAAACAAACAAATTAAAACAAAAGTAACACAAGTAAACAAAAACAAAAAAAAACTACAAAAACATCACACATTCACCCATACACACACACGCACGCGCACGCGCACACACACAAACACACACACACACACACACACACA